CTGTAATCATAATAACGACGTGGCATACCTGCAACTCCTTCATAATGCATTGGCCAGAAAATTACATATGCTCCAATAAATGTTACAAAGAAATGAACATATCCTAATGTATTATTCATAAAGCGACCATACATTTTTGGATACCAATGATAGATACCAGCAAACATTCCAAAGAATGCAGAAATACCCATTACAATATGGAAATGTGCAATTACGAAGTATGTATCATGTAAGTGAATATCTAATGCAGAGTTTCCTAAAAATAAACCTGTTAAACCACCAGAAATAAATAAAGATACAAATCCTAATGCAAACATCATTGGAACTGTGAAACGAATATTTCCTTTCCAAATAGTTGTTAACCAGTTAAATACTTTTACAGCTGATGGAATGGCAATTAACAATGTTAATAATACAAACACACCTCCTAAGAACGGACTCATACCAGTTACAAACATGTGATGTGCCCAAACCAAGAAAGCTAAAACAGTGATACCCATAATAGATAATACCATTGCTAAATATCCAAAAATTGGTTTTCTCGAATGAGTACTTAATATTTCTGAAGCCATACCCATTGCTGGTAACATAATAATGTATACTTCTGGATGACCTAAGAACCAAAATAAATGTTGATATAAAATTGGAGAACCTCCAACGTTTGGTAATGCTTTTCCTGCAATAAATATTTCTGATAAATAGAAACTTGTTCCAGCATGACGATCAAATAATAATAATACTGCTGCTGATAATAATACAGGGAAAGATAAAACTCCTAATACTGCTGTAAATAAGAATGCCCAAATTGTTAATGGTAAACGAGTCATTGTCATCCCTTTGGTTCTCATATTTAATATAGTAACTATATAATTAATACCACCAAGTAATGAAGAAACAATAAACATAGCCATACTAATTAACCACATATCCATACCTAAACCAGAACCCATAGAAGCTTCTTTTAAAGCACTTAAAGGAGGATAAGTAGTCCAACCACCAGATGCAGGACCTGTTGTAATATACAATGAAGAAAACATGATAACACCAGCAATTGCAAAAAACCAAAATGAAAGCATATTCAAAAATGGTGATGCCATATCTCTAGCTCCAATTTGTAAAGGAATTAAAAAGTTACTGAATGTACCACTCAAACCTCCTGTTAATACGAAGAATACTAAAACTGTTCCATGAATGGTTGTTAAACCATAATACATTTCAGGATCCATTTTTCCACCTTTAGCCCAATCTCCTAAAAATGTAGATAATATTTTAAATGTTTGTTCAGGAAATCCTAATTGTAAACGGAAAAATACTGACATTAAACCTCCAACTATCGCCCAAAAAATACCAGTAATTAAAAACTGACGAGAGATAATTTTATGATCCATGCTAAAGATATACTTCGAAAAGAAGTGTTGCTCATGATGTCCATGATCGTCATGTCCATGATGGTCATCATGTCCATGGTGAGAATGTTCGTCGTGTGTGTGTAATATTGCTTCGTTACTCATTTTTTATATCTTATCTTAATTACTAAATTAATTATTTCATTGTTATTTGTTTCGCTGAATCTGTTTTTGCAGGTTCTGCTGCTGGTGCAGGAAACTCATCTGGATGATTTTGTACATAATATGATTGTTGTTTCGCTAACCAAGCATCATGCTCAGCTTGAGTTTCAACAATAATAACTGCTCTCATTGAGTAGTGTCCTTTTCCACACATTTGATCACAAGAAACTTCATATGTAAAATTAGGATTTCCTGTTTTTGATTTCATTTCTTCTGTAGTGAACAATGGAGTAAACCATAATCTTGACATAATTCCTGGTACAGCATCCATTTTCATTCTGAAATGCGATAAACCTACATCATGAATTACATCTCTTGAACCAATAATTAATTCAACTGGTTTTCCTTTTACTAATCTTAATTCACCATTAGGAATAATAATATCATCTTTGGTAGCTTTATCTTTCCAATCTAAACCAAGAATATTGTCTTTGTCATTGATGTTTGTGAAATA